TTCATTAGCTTTGCCAGTTATTCCATAGAAATTTAATTTCGATAGTAAGATATCATGATTAACACAATCGAAAGCTTTTGCTAGATCACAGAAAATCCCTCCCACAATTAATCTGTCATTGAGAGCACTTAAAATATCGTTAGTTAGTTCATAGGTTGCTTTTTCTGTTGTTAGGTCTTTCCTAAATCCAAATTGCTCTTTGACTAATATGTTGTTAGAATTTAAGTGTTCAAGTAGTCTATTATACATAACTTTTTCAAAGACTTTTGAGAATGAAGTCAATATGGATATTGGTCTGTAATTAGAGATGCATTTTCTCTCTCCTTTTTTAAAAAGTGGTTTCATTATAGCGTATTTTAAGCGTTGAGGAAAAGTACCTGATGTAAATGTTATAAGTTAATGAAACTTCTGAAATAACAGAGAAATTAATGTATTACGTTCCTTGAGGTATCAATGGAGGAGATCAAAAGTAACAAACATGTTTCATACTTTTATTTCCCATGAAAGTAATTTGTTTCCCAGAAATTTTTTACATAAATATAATTCATCTTCCTGTCAATTAAAATGTCCATCAGTGGATCATGTAAGGTTATTTGACTTTACCATTTTTGTTCAATCTTGGCTGTAGTTTCTTGCATATAGTTCATGGGAGAAAATACAGTATGGCTTTTACATTGTTATGTGAATTCCAGACTCCATATACAGAAAAATTACATGCGATATTTTAATTGTGCCTTCTGATTTGTTGTCTGTTTGTGTTTGTTTTCACACACTGAAGGTGCTTTCTTTCTTCTTATTGTGGATGTAGAAAGATTGCTAACTATTCTCAAAGTTTCTTTTGTTAACACATTATTTACCATCCCTCAGGAGCAGTGGTATTCAGGAAGACAGTGAATCAGAACCCATTCTTCCTGAGTCCACTTCTTCAGCTGGACCAGTAGACACTGTCAGCAGACCTTCAAGATCAAGTGCACTCTTATCTGCATCTTCTACAGATAAGAAAGTATTTAGGTAATGGCATTTTGTGTATGCTTGTACTCTTTTGTCTTCTCCTTAACTCTTTTTTTTTTTTTTGCCTCCTCTCATGATGTTTCTTGACTTCTGTATAGGCATCTTTTACCATGTAATTCTGTATTCCACATTTCAAATTTGTCTTGACATCTCATTTTGTCATCTTTTTACGCCCTGTAAAGTACTTTGTTAAGACATGTTAGTTTCTCAGTTTAATGCTCTGATCATCCTTGCCTCTTTCTCACTCTTATTGTGTGCAATCTGTGGATACTGGATTTCTTTGATTTCTGACTTACTTATATCCTTGTATTATCTGACCTTGTTTTCTGTTGTGTGTTCTCAGTCAATTCAGTTTATGTTATGTGTTGACATTTATTATTTTATCTTATGTGTTACTATTCTATTTGGCAGGCTATATTTCAGATCAAAAGGGAAAAGAAATGAAACTAATAAACTTGAAAGGAGCAAGCAAACAAATCAAGCAACACTATCCTCCCCTCCTTACCGAACTAAAGTTTCCATAAAGCTTTCCATGGACCATTCCCAAGGCATAAATCCCTTCTCTAATAAATCAGATGACCAGTAGAGCAAAAGAGAGGAAACAGAACAAATTCAGAATAGAGCGAATCTTAATCTTTCCACTAGATGGAGGTAAAGGACCAGTTTCACACAGAACTTCCATTGGATAGTAGGCAGAGTAAACCCCAGAGTTAGTCTGGATACAATAGCAAAGGGAAGAATCCCAGCCATAACCAAGCACTTTATGTACTGAACTATCCAACTTTTGTAGTTCATTACATAGATCTCCAAGAGTCTTTCACTTACTCCATATTAATGAGTCAGGAATTTCCTATTCTAGCATACACAATTTGTGAAATATTTGATAATTGGCTGCAGCCAGTTGCATTGGTAAGGAAATAAGCAATTTTCTTTTACCAACCTATTATGTTGATATTAGATTATTGTGTAATTGTGATTCTTGATTAATTAATTTTGTGATAGTGGTTTATTTCTGTGCTGTATTTTCATTTTGGCTTATGCTAGATGTTTCTTTGATTACAGGATGAATGAGCCAAGTAAACAACCCCTTGGACTTGAAGTTACATATTCAAAAAAGAAGATTTCTGTGAAGAGAAGTAAGGGAGTAAAGACTGAAGCTAAAGATAGCCATAAAACGTATCAGGAAGAGAAAATGAGTGGTAAGTAAAAATGAATGTAGATGCATAGATTGAGGGTATGAATATTCAGGCCTTGTCCTTCAGTTGCAAATACCTAACAGTGTTCTAGTAAGATCATTGTATAAGAATGTCATACTGACATTGAGTCTTTAGGAATAATTTTGAACACTTTGGGTTTTATTGATTGAAGTATGAATGTGAAAAGTTGTAAAAATTATTTTAAACTTGCATTAGATGGCAGTGGCCTACATAGAAATATTCTTATTGAAATTAAAATCAGTACATGAAACATATGATTAAGATGGGCGTGCATACTGAAACCCAAATCTCCAGCAGTGTGTCAGAGAATAACAGCGTGTATTTTGTTCACACTTGTGACTTTAACTGGTTTAAAGATGATACAAGAGTGGTCACATTTATTTATCAACTCTTTGGGGTATGTGTATTTATCAGTTCATTACTGAGAATTAAAATGGAACATAGATATCTTTTCAAAGGAGAGAAAACCTGTAGGTCAGAGAGTAATTAATTAATTCACTTAGTGGGGGGTGGAGTCCAGCTGGGTCCACTCGGCACAGCGGCCACTGATTGGCCTATCGTAGCCCGCCCCAGATGATTATGAAGATGGAGAATTTGGTGGAATGAAGATTGGCAGGGGAACCGAAGTACTCGGAGAAAACTCTACCGCCACTTAGTCCACCACAAATCCCACTTGACCAGACCCAGGATCGAACCCGGGCCTTTACTGTGGGAAGCCAGCGACTAACTGCTAGAGCTATGGCACAGCCATATGTCAGAGAGTAAGTTAGTGGCCATCTGTACCAAATGTGTAGGGTCTGGACACATCCATTTCCATAATGTTTGGCATAACTTATCTTGTCACAGTAATGTCATATTGTCTTTCATTATATAGATATTTTGGCTGCATAATCTCTGTCTTTCAACCATATAAACCATGTCTGCATATGATGCTCAATATGAACCAGGCACGTCCTAAATTATGGTTAAAAGCCTTACTCTTGGGCCAACATGCTTGGTGAAAATATAGTAGTGTAAATCAGGCATGTCAAACTCAACTTGTACAGAGGGCCACCTCAGCCCTATAAATAATAGTGCAGGGCCGCACTTCAAAATAGAAATATACATTAGATTTTGTTACAAGGAAATTTAATTCTATTTATTATATAGGAGTAATTTCAATATAATTACCTAAAGTNTCAAACAAATTTGCAATATGTAAAAAGAGAGAGTATACAAGAAATTGTGTTAGAAATTGAATTTCCTGCAGCCTGGTAATTTATGTCTGCGTGAGATTTCTTGCCTTCTGGTCTGCTGGAAAATTGTCTTTACAAAAAATATTTCTACTAAAATTTTAATATTGATTTTAATATCAATTAGCTCTAAAAGTTGAGGGGCCGCA